AAATATAAGTCTGAATGACTGCAACTTCAGAAAAAAAGATGGAAAAAGACCAAACTGTTACTGAACCAAACAGCTCTTGTTCATAGGAATAGTGTAATGGTTGACAAACTGAAATAGGATTAACATTTTGCCTTTAACTGCACTCAGAATGACAAAGCTTGGCATTGAAATCTGGATTTCTAACTTTCACAGCTTCTATCTTTCTAGCTTTTCACTGCACTTCCACAATCAAAGTGGTCACTCCCAACCTCCACAACCAAGACAGACATTCTAAACCTCCACATCAGTTTTTAGAACAGTTTCTTACCTGTTGTTGACCCCACGGCGCAACAGGGTGAGGTTGGTCAAACCAGGGTGGTTTATTTGGGGGAATCTGATCATGAGATCCAGGCCCACGTGGTGCCCCTGAGGCAGGATCCTGCACTCCAGACCCAGTTGTGTCATACTCTGTAGAACCAGCCAGAGGCAACTGAGATTTACCATCATCTGGAACAATTCAGAGACTATTGTCAGCATCAAAGTCACTTGCAGTTAATAAAACATCAGCACACCAGGCTCCAGATTAATTCTTTCTGAAGAAATCTAATTACTGGGAGACAGGATTTCTGATCCATTTAACACTCATCTCTTTTGTTCTTTTTATACTCATGCATCAGCCTGCACCTGCTGCAAGGCTCTGAACTGATTCAAGCTTTTGCCTGAACCAAACCAGCAGTGCATTGTGCCTCATTATTAAAAAAAGAGGGGAAAAAAAAAAAGTCATAACATTGTCACCCAGTGATTTTTGCACAGGTCCCAGGCCAGCTCAGTACCTGCTTGTGTGACTGGAACAGATGGTGGAGCTGAGGCTGGGGCTGCTGTGGGGGCTTGAGGTGGGGGTGTTGATTTCACCTCGTTCTCCAGTGGGGGTATTTGGATCTGCTGCTGCTGCTGCTGCTGCTGTGTTAAACTGTTCACAAACTCCTCGTGTTGAGTTTTCAGGTTCTGAATCTGCTGTTGGAAAGCCACTTGCACAGGCTGGACAACCGTTGCGTATTCAGTGATCAAATTTGCCTGATAAAAGAAATGAAGAAGAACAAGTGAACACTGAAACTGTAATACCTACCTTATCCAGTTGTTCTGAATTCCCTGTATTGCCCTTCATCCTCTCCCCCAAAAAACACCTGAGAATGCAGGATAACGGTGACAGAACCATCCAGTCCCATTACGAAGCTTTGTGGAGATTTCCAAAATATTCTCTGCAGCCTGAAACCCACCATCTTTAGTACTGTCTTTCCAATACAGCTCAAATCAACAGCATTCATTATTAATAATAAAAAGGAAAAGTTCCTGCTGTCACTACAATTTTTATATTCAATGTATCCAATTTCAAGCCATGTTTGCTTGTTTCCTTTTAACCAAATACTCCCTGCTATGCAAGACACTGTCAAATATGTACAGTCTGTATCCTGTATCCAGGGCCATATCAGCAGCTGGATTATTCAATGTTTGAAATAACAAGGTTATATTTTACATTATTTTTTGTAATCCCTTGTAAGCAACTTCAAGGGAGCGGAGGGGAGACAAAAACTAACATTATCCTTTGAAAAGAAAAATAATTTTCAAAATATTTGCATAAATAAGAAAACTGGTATTTTTGTGGCTAACCTGGTACTGGCCAAGTCCAAGAGCTGGGCTTTGTAACTGCTGAATAATGGACTCATCAAAGTACCCATTTTTCTCCCATAGCTGAAGAAGCTGCATGAATAAGAGTGAAAAGGTTTTAGAAATTATGAACAATCAAAGAAAAACTGAGGCACAGCATTTTTGTGTCTTCAGCTTTTCATAAGACCTAGGATTTTTCTATTTATTTTTGAATGACTAAAGATTCAGATGCATTCATCATTGCAATAACTCTTAAATAAAGCCTAAGGACTTTCAAGTTCTATTTTAAATGTGTACTAGAGCACCTTCTAAAACAGACTTTATAAAGACAATCAGACTAGAAAAATCTCAGTCACCTTCTGGTACCTGCCTATTTGTGAATTTACATAGCACCAACCCAACAAAGCAAAAGTCACAGTGAAACCAAAACCAGATACTCACTCTGGCAATTTTCTGTTGCTTATCCTCCTCCACTGCTAGAAAACTGGTACAATAAATAGGCACAACCACCTTCTGTAAAGCAGCTAGAAGATCTCGTGCTTGCTTCCTCTGGCTTCAAGAAAGGAATGGGAAGAGTTATCTTTTTCCCTATAACACTAAGTGCATTGGAATATATTCAATTCATCTCAACTTCTGCTATACTAAAAGTAGTAGAATCATGAAATAGAGTTCTCTCCCTAAAGACTTTATTGTAAAATCCTGTCTGGAGGAAAAATACACGAAGTAGGTAAAACAGTTTTACCTATATTTGATTACTAAAGCACTAAATCAAATCTACGGACATCTAAGGACAGCTGCTAAAAACAATTAATACGTTAAAATATGAAGTGACTAGTCAAACCAAAACTGTATCTAGGAGAGAAACTTCATCAAATTAATCAAAATAGCAAACGGAAACCCAGAACTGAATTCTTACCAGTGATGCAAAACATCATTGATTAAGTAGATGAGGTGCAGGCGCAGCTCAAAGTGAGCTCCTTCCGCGGTTATCCGGTTCCGCAGGTGCCCGGCCATCAGCTCACAGTGTGCAGGAGACTTGGCATTACTAAACATCCAGTTCTTGCCAGCCTTAGAAAAGCAAATTTTAAAATATTTTAAGTCAGTCTAATGTGTTCCCACGATATAGGCTTCCGATAGTTCTGAAATAACTGCAGGAAGGGGAGTTTTCAGGTAACAGCTTTCATCTGACCTGCCACACAACATAAAGCTGTTGTTAACGTACAGAGAATCTCAAATTCAAACGAACCCACAGTGCCACCAAATCCCTGTGCAGATTCACATCACTTACTGAGATTGCATCTTTTGTGCAAGTGTCAATTATTGGCTGCAACAAGTTGTCAAATTCGTTCATATCTAACTGGGTTTCCTCCAAAACCTTTTGCATTTGTTGCTCGATTGCAAGGGCTACTGCTGATGTGACTTGTTCCTGATAAAAAAAAAAAACCAAAAAAATAGAAGGAAAAAAAAAAAAAAAGAGAAAGAATTACATTATAGCAAAAATTATTTTAAAGAATGAAGCTGCTGTATCCTTATCCTCTTGGACCTAAGTGGCAATCTCAAGGATCAAAATCTTTTACAAGCACTGTGACCTCATGACAATGTTTCAATTCTTTGGTTCTGAAAAGACTCATATTTTTCTGGAGAAGTCCAGTTTACTTCTACTTCTCAAATCTATCATGTAATAAAAAATAATTGCAAGAAGCTCTTAAAGGTAAGGAAGATAACCAAGGCACAAGGAACTCTTCAATTTGGTTTTCAGCAGCTTTAACAGTTGAATGTCTCCTGCAAAAATCAGCTAGTTGATAGCACAGTTTCCCTCCAATCTAAGTTGGAATACTACAAACTGGAACATCTTGCAGATTCCAGCAATCTGCAGCATCAAACCGAGGTTAAAGCAGTCACAATCTATTCCGCTCTAAAACTAACAAGATTTTTCAAGGTTTTAATCACAGATCACTCATCCCATAATAATATAACCCATATGCAATCATAACGCAACGTACACATCAGATACATCCACTCTAGGGGAACGATGGCATTTGCCACACAACAAAAATAAGGAAAGCAACATCCCTTCTCCTCACCTCCAGCTCCGCTCAGCAGCAAACAATCCTCTCCTCCTTTACTCCTAATTCCTACAGCCACTGACAGGCCAGGATACACCAGATGAGTGCTCATCTCAAACCAACCTGTCTCATAGCGAGGAGATGCTGCTCCTGCTGCTGCAGGTTCCACTGACTCTGCTGGATGAGCTCCTCCACAGACGGGGTGCCCTGAGGGGCCGGGATGGGTGCAGCCGGCGGGAGCGATGGCTGTGGCAGGGGTTGGATCTGTGCGGAAGCCTCGATATCTTGGCTTTGCTTGCACAACACTATCAGACAGAGTAAATTTTGAAAGTAAACCTCCCAGAGAAACCTGCTACCACCAGCCCACGGGTGAAAATGGCACTGGTTCCAAATAGACCCTCATTCTGAGGGGGTGAGAGTGGTCTCCAGAGCTGCTTGGACAATGCTCTGACACTTGGTGGGATTCCTGGGGTGTCCTGCATCGATGATCCTGATGGGTCCCTTCCAACTCAGCATATTCTATGATTCTACAGTTAACGCAAAATCACAGGTGGATGGTGCCAAAGAGGAGAGTCAGCAACTCCCTGTGCACTTCCAGAGGGACAACTCGAGGACAAGCCGAGCTGCGTCTCACCTCGCTGCCCGTCCCTGCGGCTCCCCCCTGCCCGCCTCCAAACCCACAACCGGAGCCGTGAGGAGCCGTGGGCAGCGCTGAGCCAACTACTGGGAACCCCGAGCGCAGAAAGAGGCTGCAAACCGGTCCCGGCGAAGCAGGATGAGAGCACAAGAGACAAAAGTGTCTCCGCCGGCCGACCCCGAGACCCCGCGGCCGGCGAGGGAAGGAGCCCCGAGCCGGCCCTGCCCGAGCCGCAGGCCCCACTCACGCTGCTGCTGCTCCAGGGCCAGCTTGTACTTGTAGTAGCCGTAGAAGTCGCCCCCGAAGAGGAAGGAGAATTTGGGGTTCTCCTTCTGCTTCTCCATCGTCATCTTCTCGAACTCGGGCCCGTTCCGCGCCACAAACTGCGCCAGCTTGTCGATGACATTCCGCAGCTCCTGGTCTGTGGGGAAGCAGCGCCGTCATTCCCCGCTCTCCCCCCATTCCCGCGGTCGCCCCCCGTTCCCCCCGAAGCTCCCAATCGCCCCTCACCCTCGGGCGGCAGCGGCATCTCCATGGCCGCGGCTCCCCGGCCCGCTGGGCCGCGCCGCACTGCCCGCGGAACAGCTGCGACACCAGCGCGGCCGCGCTTTACGGCCACGTCGCTGTGGAGACGGCGCGCGGCGCCGGTGACGCGGGGTCGCATGGCGCGGTCGGGGCGGCGTTGGGGGAGGGAATGACAAAAATTAAATAACGAGGAAACCGCTAAATGTGGGAGTTTGGCCTTTTTTTTCATTTTGTTGAGGTAGGCATTGAAGGTACTTGAGATGGTATTTTGTGTTCAGGCTTAAATGTTTTGGTTTGTTTTTTTTTTTTTTTTCATTTCTGTAAGAGTCTCCCAAGTAGTGAGTTCTATAGTATTCTACTAATGAGTTATAAAATGGCAAATTATTTTTCTCCACAAGGTCTTTTAAGGTTAAACTATCTAATTAGGAAATGACATTTAAATTGTTTTTATTTTTAACTCAATAACTAATCACTCAAACTCCTCCATTTTCTGTCTAATTACAAAATACTACCGGAACTCATGAAGGATTAGTTTCTGCCTTAAAACTTTTATTTTGCTCTCTCTCTTTCTCTCTATATATATTACTGTATTCTAAAACCCTAATCTCTAAGTTTTCTACCCTGTGATGTTACGTGCTTCTAATTAAACTACACACCTGTAATCTCAGTGCTGTCAATCAATTTTGGAAGCTTTTTCTACGGCCTTAGGTTAAATGAAGTATTCAACTTTGAGTAACAGCACAGGCAGAATGTTACTCTTAAAGTAATTGACCTGCCTCAGGTCCAATGCTTGTATTATGAATTATTTTAAAAGGTGACAGAAACAGAGTTGAACAACACCTCCACGTTTAATACAGTTAATTCTTTTTTCTTTTTTTTTTTTTTTTTTTTTTGTGTGTTCCATTGGAATGTTAAGTTTTGACCTCTCAAAAGGGTTCCAGTGCAATTAAAGTCAGTGAAATAAACCTGGGACATTATATACAGAATATAGTCTCAGTGTTCTCAGATGAGCATATAAAATTGATGGGAGGCTGTTTTGCATTACTCACTCTGAAAATGAGATTATATTTCATTTCTCAAGTGTGATGTGAAGAGATGCTTAGGTGCCTTAACAGCATGCTTCAACCACACCACAGATTAAACCAGCAGAAAATAACTCAGTATTACAGAATTTTTCAGAGGCTGATAAAGGATCAAGAAGACTTCTGTACTTGATAACCTGTTCTCTTTGTGCTCGGTGCTGAGAGTTACCTGTGGGGTGGTCAGGGATTTTTGTAAGTAAATACTTTTGTCATATACACAGATAAAGGCATCTTGTATGCTTTTAGACCATATATATATATACATACATACATATATATATATATATGGTAATATATAATGTCATATCTCTGATAAGATATATTATAATTGAGTTCTTGGTCATAAAAGCCAGAGATAAAATTAACACAATGTCATTTAGCATTGGTTCAGCTTGGAGGACAATCCAGACCACTTAAACTACATACAGAGTAGGTGAAGGAATGCCAGCAGATAGAGCACCCGAGATGGAGGAGATGATTGGAGTGGCTTTGGCTGGACTTTTCCTCTGACATAGCCACGGGCGAAGCCAGTTTCTTCCGTTAATGCAGAGACTGCACCTTGGGAGAGGCGGTTGGCCAGACGCCAAGAATGATAAGGCCGCGAGGAGAAGCAGGAGGAACAGAGACTGAGGGGGAGGGTGTGTTGGAACTCTAGGCCTTCAGCGAAGGATCTCTGTTCCTGAGCCCCAGGCCCCAGGGGAGAGGAGAGGCGGGGAGAGGCGTCCCAAATGGTGAGACTTCTTGGAACTGGGTGAAAAGCATTCTTAAAAAGAACCCAAGGAGTAGTTTGGGTCCATGGACAGTGGTGAGAGCACTGGACATGGAAGGAAGATGGTCACCATGGCAGATTTCTCTTCGAGCAGCTGCTGTGTGTGACATGGAAGCACAGAAGTTCTACTGTGTTTCCTGGAGAGGCCCATGGTGCAAGAGGGAGGCTCCTCTCTCCTGGTGGACTGGGGGGGGGGCTTGGTTGAAAGGAGGGTATTGGAGTGAGAATTAATATGTTAGAGGGGATTTGAATGTTAGAGGAGTGGGGGGAGGAGGAGGAGAGTTTTGTAAAAGTGTTCCATTGTAGATTGTTGTGT